TTTTCTATGTAAAATTAGGGCTTAATTTCTCACGTAATATTTTCCAGGGCACTGGTAGACTGGGTTAGACACATCACTTGTAACCCCAGCCATAGCTAGCCAGAGCTCTCCTGGATGTTTAGTGCTGGGTGTGGACATATTTTTTGGCTCACTGACTCAGACAGACCCTGCTGAAAATAAGCCCCGATTATGAATATACATATTAATAGGATATTAAGCTGCACACTATAATTTGTGTGTGTTGAAGGAAATCGTATATTTTAGATAATCCATTTTAGTATTTAGTGAACTCAATTAACATGTATTATGCTTATGTTTCCTGTCGAATAAATCCCAAAAAACATCAACGCCTTTAAAATGAGTTAACTTGTTATTATAAGTGTACACTGTTGTACCCAACACCTATTTTTTTCCATATTTTGCACATTTCTATACTGCAATTAAATAGTATTAAAGTTATCAAAACTCACTTTAAATCCAGCTGTACTCTACGACTATTGTTGACCATTTGGTGTAATTTGTTATTGAAAGTTTATCCATGTATATAACGTTGTGGATTTGCCATTGCCTATGAACAAATCAACCAGGCTGTGTCCGATCTCGTCAGATCTCAGAAGCCAAGCAAAGTTTGAGCCTGGATAGTCCCTGGATAGTGCTTGGATGGGTGACCACTATACACAAACACAGGTATTGTAGGCTTCTGCAGAGGTCAGTGGCACAAAATCCATTGTTCTACTGCACAATTGGACCATGTCTAATGATGTCCGCCTTCACCAACCTGCCAGCGTGCTGAAGTATGGTCAATAACCCCCATGACCCATACGACATAAGGAGGTCCTCATCCAGCAGTGGATTGACAGAAGTGCTGTACGTGTACACGTTATAACAACCGTGCCCACTGTTTGCAAATAAATTGTTCCAATACTGCCCTTGCTTGCACCTAGTAAAACTAAGTGCCATACATACGTACATGTACACCTATACTGTGGATATGTATCAAGATTATCCTCAACATATATCTTCATAGTAGTTCAGTACTATCTACTGTTTGTAACCTGATTGATGCTAGGTATGGTTTAAATAAATAAAAATTAAATACATTCTTGAATAGCATTGCCCTAAAAGTGAAAACGCAAATAACATGCAACATTTCTGGAAACGGTTCTTCGTAGCAGAGAGTTTCGATAAATTAACTCCTAGGAGTAACAACAGCGTGAGAGGTCGTTATCTAGACGTGGATTGGAAAATTAAGAATGACCCTGCCAGAATGTCACCTATTATATGTATTTTCCTTTTTAGGGCAGTGTTATTGACAAATGTTGATATTTTTTGTAAATGTGCATGCACACTCTGTAAATGTAGTATCACGTAAACATGTTGGAGGTATGGTTATATTTTTACAGGGTCCTGCTTGTTTGTCATACTTAGCCAGAGTTGCCAGTTCAATGTTTATCTCACCTCCATTTTTTTTTGCATTTGGCTCATAAAGTCAAATGTGGTCATGTTCAAGTCCACAATGACAATGTATTCTCACTCACAATCAAACATTTCCATTTCCATTGTAGACATATGCTATAAGATATATGCTGTAATACAAAATACGAAATTCGTACACATGGAATATTGGCAGTTGGCTGTTCTTATGTATGCATTTCAGAGACACCCACCAAATCAATATTATAATCCTGAATGCTATATATATAAAAACATGACCGTAATGTTTTTTTTTGTGAAATAGTATTCAAATTACTTGTGGCTGTGCATATTTGTTGTAGAATACAGATGCAATTTAAAGTGTGTTTCTCATCCGAAAGTTTGAAAAGTTATCATGAGAATTTAAATGAATTTGTCAAGCTAGAATTATGCACGTATTTTCATATCTTTATTATGATTGCTAAGCTGCTACCACAGTTCTGGTCTGATATGTTAAAATGTAATTGCATTTTTGTTCATTCTTGTGAACATCCAATTGTTGACTTTAGGGTATATCAAACATTAGGGGAATTTCATATTAAGATATAACTAATCATATTATAACTTCTTATACCAACACTTAATTGGTTAACTGGGTCGGAAAATGCAAGTAGAATGCATTTGTAATACCTATTATTTTAAATTGGTCGGTGCATGCAGTCATCATACACAGTAACATCCATCTCTGGATCCAGCAAAGTTTAGATATAATTTTGGTTCCGTTCACTACAGCATTTTAAAGATGCATTATTTGTCAATTTAAGTATGACCAGATTTATCATATTTAAAAATTCAACACTAATGCACCAATGTAAACAGGATATTATTACAGGATATTATTACATCATAGCAGGCTACTTGCTTACAATATGCAATCTTGTGCAGATCTGTAGAGTGTATATGAATCCCCAATTCGATATATGGAAAATCCCAATATTTTCACAGTGAACTCGTGCCCTTGCCTTTCCTTCTGTTATCTCCCTTCTCTATCCAAACACCTTTCTATTTCTCTCGCTCTCAGTTTACCCAAACCATCGTAAACATCTTTCCCACAAGACCTTACACTTGTAACCACAAATCCAACGTTCCCCAGCACCTTTTTTTTCCACTTGATATGTATGAGGCATAGTCAACCGTCACTTTTAGAAATTAGACCACTCAATTGAATCCCCAACTCGTTTGCGCATGTGCACGTTGCTCATGTGTCCGTATTTACACTGTATGTTGTCAGTTGGTACGTGCACGTTTATGCAGTTCAGAGTGTGATCAATTGAATATTCATGCCAAGGGGAATGCCAAAGAAATCACAAGGTTTTGCAGTCGATGGAAAAAGTGTAAGAATGCAAAACTGGCAGTGGGCCTTAATTATGGTATGCAGCATGGGTTCCCCAATAGTGTTCGTCACCGATCTCCCACTGGGTGTCCGAACTACATTGTAAGCCTGCTGTAAATAAAAATATAAACCCATTTACACATATGAATGCAATATGCATATAAGAAAATAAATTAATTTGATCTGTTTTAATTGTAAGTTACCAGGACCCCTGTGGGCCCTTTTTGGATCCCCAAATAGCAAAAAATTCACGACGTTCAGTCAGACAAAAACAAAAGCAACTTACATAACGCAATGGGGACAAACAATTATTATTTAATGTGAAACATGTGGAGCTAAAAATAAATGGATTCGTACGTCTATGTAAGCCCTCAATACCATGGCTCTTTGGAACAAATATTAAAAAATATACTGTACAGGGTGTTAAAAAAATGTGGACCAAATTTCACAGCGGTATATTTCACGATGGCAACATGTTACAATCACACAAAAAGTTACAAACGGTTTAATGAGTTATTAAGTTTTATAAACCATTTTATAAATGCTCTATGTGCCCTCCACCTGCTGTATGGATAACATTGAGACGAAAGTTGAATTCGTCCCAAACGCCTCTCACAGTGTCTTCTTCCACTGAAGTCACCGCTGCTGTGATTCTGTTTTTGAGGTCATCCAGATTATTCGCTAATGGTGGCACAGAAACACCACGGTCTTTGACGTATCTCTACAAGAAAAAAGTCGCAGGGTGTGGTGATGTCTGGGGGTGATCTTGGGGGCCAAGAGTGTAGCCAAGTCTTGGGGTCCCATGCGACCTATCCAACGTTGACGCAGTGTGTCTTGCGAATGACTGAGGCTAGGGGATGTTTGTACGCTGGGAGAGGCATCTAGCGGTAATCATTTGAAACACTAGGCTCCGCCTTTTCAAGTGGTAAGAGTTTCATTCATGGGCGGTTCGTGGTTGCAGAGGTATAGCGATTTCAAATCGGGTCCATCTTTTTAACACCCTGTATAATTGCAGCAATTAAAGCAATATGGTAATATTTTACCTGGTTTAAAAGTGACCGAACGTTTGTCTCTCTTATAAAAGGAATAGCTATTTAGTTTCCATATATTGTTAATAAAACTATATTCTGAAAGAGAGAACACAATCGTTTTCAAAGGTTATTCACCACATACGTGCTGAACTTTTTTGGATTTAAAGCTTTCGTGACTGCAGTAATTCATATTCTTAGTTTTTTCGGTAAAGTCACGTTGAAGGGAAACAACAAAATAATAAAATATATAAAACAATACAAATTCTCACGACGTTTCGACCATAACACAAACGGTCGTCTTCACACACCTGAAGACGACCGTTTGAGTTATGGTCGAAACGTCGTGAGAATTTTTATTGTTTTATATATATTTTATTATTTTGTTGTTTCCCTTCAACGTGACTTTACCGAAAAAACTAAGAATGTGCTGAACTTTGTTCAAGTGTGATATGTTAAGTAATATAATCACAATCATGCACAGATAAATAATTCATGACGATCAAGGCAAACACTGGCTTGTGTGAGTGTAACGGATTAATAAAGTGTATTCACGTAAAGTGATGAACTTTCTGTGTTTTACACGTGGTTATATTTATGGTATATAGCAGTAATTATTTGCACACGCCATTGTCGGCAGAATGACCGCCACTAGAATGAGCTATGTATGTATGTTGAACTTCTTTCACACTGTAAGTAGCCAGCTGTGGTAATCGGAGGTGCGGGGAACGACAACCTATTTGAACATAAAAAACTATTCTAAAGAAATGAATTTTCAATCTAGATTTAAAAGTCTAAAGCTCCAGTAGCTTCCTAATATCGTAAGGAAGAGTGTTGGAGGGCTACTCGAGGGAGTATTTTACTCTTTAGCAATGGTCAAGCTGCTCGGAAAAGGTGGGAGTACCCACACTTTACTTCACCGTATTCAGCCTACTGATAGCCTGTTTAGCATCCATTTATACTGCTGGGTAGACAGAGGCAAGGGGATTCAAGACACTTGGCAATTGTTTCCACCGCAGGATGTTTGAACCGGTGACCACTGCTTTTCAAATCCAGTCTGATAACCATTACGCCATGGCAGAATCCCTCATGATTTTGAAATCTGCGATAATGTCTTTTTTTTTATATATATACAATAAAAAAATATATATCTCCTACCTCAACAGATTAACAGGGTTCTTGGAGCCGCCCCCGATCACAAGCTCAGGACCCCAGCTCAGCCTGCATCTCACCAGTGACTTTGCCGTGAGTGCCCATGGATTCAAGCTGCTTTATGAAGGTGAGTGTTGTGCTGCTACATAGCTGCAAGGTGCACAGCCACACAGCATTAACCCCGTGCCGCAGATCCCTGGAAATCGACTCAGCTGCTCAACGTCTCCCAAGGTTGCTGCCATATACATTTTCAAGATATCAACTTTCTCGATGCGATATCAAATTTCACAATGATGACTATCCCAAAATCAGCTTCCCCTGTATTTCAATTTTTTTTTCATATATATAGAAATGTATGTCACGAATACTTCCAATACAAATAGAGATTGCTTGTGAAACAGGTGAGTTGGATTTCCTGGATGAATTGTTACCAAAATTGCAGTCCCTGATTGAAGTGTTCACTCAGAGTTAGCATTTATGTACAGGATCGGTCTCTGCTGATTGTGTTTAGCCCTCGCCTACTGCCCTGTAGCTCGACCCCACTGGGACACGCCCATCATCAGCAGTGTTGCCCAGACTGTGGAGAGACGAGCCAGGTGTTGGAATGTGGCGTGGAGAACGACGATAAATTAGTTTTTTTTTTTACACCTCGTGAGTTTATTAATAAAATTTGCCAGGCACTTGAGCTCCATTTCCGGATCAACTTCTGGTCATTCACAGGCAGGTCATTCATGAGAAGTGCGACAGAACACAATGCAGAGCATTACGATTACCCAGACATTTATGGCTGGTAGAGCAGTAGCAAAAACTGCTGCACTTCAACGTTTTTCTACTGCAATTTACTCGACTTAAGCCTGCCATTACGCTTCTAGTCATGGCAACTTTTCAGTCTATTATGCCGATAATGCACATATCGCCGAACGTGGAATGAGGTCTTAAACATTCTTCTCTTCAAAAAGGGCAATGTAATTAACTTGAAGAATTAGATCTATGTTGCCCTGTTTTAGACCACAAACACACAAGTGTAAAAATTGGTGCCATTTTAATTTAGACAACAGGACAACTCGTTTCTAGAATAGTTTAAATATCACACTTTGCATTGTATACGAGCATGCATATACATTTGTTTATTCAAACGGGAATGCTACAACAAATGTAATCCTACAGCTTAAACTTTAAACACCAATGTTTATAGATAATGGGATTCAACTATCCATGGAGCCATAAACTGAGCACAGAATGCAACTGAGATAAATTTTGCTTGCACAATCTGTGCATATAATAGTTGTTAGAATATGTGCAGTGGTTGAATAAGTTGGAAGGAATTTCTCTGAATAAAAATTGCAACCAGAAAAACAAAAACTGTAGTTTAAATGTTATATTGCCTGTCACATGAATCCGAGTTACAGAATTATTACAGCAAATAGTATATATATTATTTTAAGCAATCCTGCATACAAGTGCTGGAATGTGTAGAACTGTTTATTTTATTAGTGTTATCAAATCTTAATACATGGGATGAATACAATGTAATGGGGAAATAAATGAATAAGGAAATACCTAATCATATATGAACTTAAAATTAATTAAGGTAAACAGTTAAGGTGCAAAGTCAAATTACGTGCCAAACAACAGATATACGTTAACAGTTGTGATACATCAAATTTATTTTTCAATACTACCAATAACAATGCATTGATGTCATCAAATCAGTATAATATGCATGAACAACTTTCTGCCTCCAAGCACCTGCTGTGCTTCTTATGACGGTTATTCACACATTTATTTCGGGTGGGGCGGGGGGTTATTTCCAAACTAACAAGTCACAATATTTACATGCATAGCTTAGTTTGAATGACACTTTGAGGGCATAACCAGCAGTGGAACATTTGTATGCACTGTGCGCGTCTTTCAAGTTTGTGTGGCTGGCTTGGTAGATAGGTGGGGGAGGGGTGTACCTGAACGTGTTTTTTTGCTGTTTACAGCATGAATCCATGTTTTGCATCTGTGCACCGAATTTTCGGCTGAACAATGCTCACCGATTTGTACAAAACACTCAGACCAATGCCCTTTGAACGCATGCATGCCCGTGTGCTCAAGTTTGGGTTTTGATTCTTTGATTTACCCTGTAGATGTGTTTGTATTGTACTTGTATACAACTGCTAGATGTTGGGAATTGACCAGTTCGCAAAATGTAGGTACACTTCTTTAATGCAACGCATGTATATAAATATTAATAATGCGAATACATGAAGTGAACCATTCAAAGATGTATGCTTATATTTTTGTCGACATGTTTGTGTCTTGTTTGCATATTTGTTTGTATGTGTGCTATGAAGAAGGGACTTTGCCTGAAACGTCACTAATTATACATTTGCAACTTTAAGGCAGTGTGGTTGACGAGTGTGGGAGTTGTTTTTTGTTGTTAATTGTGCTTGTGCACCACTGCCAATGCAGCGTCACCAAATAATTTATTTCATATGGAACATACTAATTATTGAAATGTTTACATGAGGATTTGAGTTAGCTTTTTTTTTCTGTGACAATCCATTGCAACAGGGGCACTGGATCAGAATGTGCGGTGTTAAAAGCGAGAGATCTGCTGGGTCTCAAACTTAAATCACCAATAGTTTGCCTCCCAAAAAATGTTTACTGACCAATAGTTATATTGGCCACAGGAGGAAACTATCCACTCTCGGTCCTGGCATTATAATTACCACTGCTCATACAATTGTATCCTCTCATTACTCATTTGTCATAAATGTACAAAGTGCAATAGAAAAAAATATTGACTTTCACAAAGACCTTGTATTGTTTTTTTGATATATAATATCTCGTATTACACGTTCCAGTGTTCAAATTTCGTAACAGATGCTTCGGCAAAATTATGGTCTTTATTGCTTCCCCCCATGATAATGTAATTAGTAATTATACTCACGATGCATCGTATAAGTATTTCACATTCACATATGGCTAATGCAGTATTGTATGTCTCAAAAAATAGACTTTAATACAAATTTATGCCGCACGCAATCAATACAATTTCATTATCATCATCAGCCTTGGTCAATCCACTGCTGGATGAAGACCTCCAGAAGCCGTGATCCTGCTATGCAATTATCCACCTCGCACCTGCACACGGGCCAATTTCATCGCTCCATCTCCTTTCGTACACATGCCATTACGATATAAATTATACATGTACAAATATAGGATGGCAATGCTAGTATGTACTGAGTTTAAAAATACACGCAAAGGCATTACTGCTGCTGTATTTAGTCAATGTAGAATAAATCGTCGTAATGTCACTCATCACCAGCCTAGAAAGAGATAAAGCATGACTTCATGCCGAACTTAAAGACAGTCTTATTACTGTAATGCGCCATTGAAATGGCCGAACTCATTCGAATGACTACCACCCAAGTGTGAGAATGGAGAGCCATGTCAGTAAGTACGTGGCCTCCTGCTGCTAGCTTAACTTAGTGGAGCATTATACCCATCTGCCTTGGGCTGCCGTGATCTAGGCGGGATTTGTTTTGTTATTGGACTGTTTTCAAAGAGAAATCAGAACTTTCCAAAGGAAGAGCACAAATTTGGTATTGAATTTGATCACACTTCATAGACTGTCAAATTAACCTGTTGTTAAACTATTGTTAGCATCTTCATCGTGACAAGCCTTTGGCAATACACTGCTGGATGAAGGTCCTCCCAAGGCAGCTGCCACCTTTCACAATCCTGCGATCTCTCGCATTCAACTAGCACATGTACATTGACCAATTTCACCACGCCATCTCCTTCCTGGACGTGTTCCACTGTCTTCTTCATCAGAGTAGTAGCGTCTTGCTGTATCGAGGAGGCCTGGGAGCCCTATGGTCTGAGGAGCTATAGTGAATAGGGGTACCTAAATCAGCTTGGTGCACAGCGAGAGACGAGACAAACTGTTTTGATTTAAAGCTTTCGTGACTGCAGGGATTCATATTCTTGGTCCTTTCGGTAAAGTCACGTAGAAGGGAAACAATAAAATAAAAAAATGTAAAACAATAAAATTCTCACGACGTTTCAACTGCAACACAAGCAATCATCACCAGGTGTGAAAACCACAGCAAGAAGATTTAAAAAAGTGGCGTTTTTTTATACTCACGATGCCGTGGCAGATCACTGGTATAATTCAGTAGGCTCACATGACATTGACTTCTCCAAGACAGAGGTTCTCTGCAAGCCATCTGGCTACCATGAGAGATTCGTTCATGAGGCTATCCACATATACAAACACAGAGACAATTTCAACCGAGAAGATGGATTCTGGCTTAGCAATCATTGGAAGGATTTGATAAACCATTTCGGGTCTTAATTGATTGTTCACGCTTACAGTGGCTTTCAGACCGCATCCATCATTTTCGTCTCCCCCCTCCTCTTTTCCGAACATAGATGGACTCGTCCATCTGAATAACTGCCAAATCACTCTCCGTGGTGCTAACGTTAAAAAACGCCACTTTTTCAAATTTTCTTGCTGTGGTTTTCACACCTGATGATGAGTGCTTGTGTTGCAGTCAAAACGTCGTGAGAATTTTATTGTTTCATATATTTTTTTATTTTATTGTTTCCCTTCTACGTGACTTTACCGAAAGAACCAAGAATATGAATAAAACAAACTGTGTCCTTCCCCAGCGCCCATTGGCACCACATTGATATAAGATCATGTATTTATTATACTTAAGTAATTTAAAAAATGTATAGGCCAGTTGATATATTCTCCATACCATCTCGAGGCATAAAAATATGTGAAATAAATCACGTATTCTTATGCCTCGAGTCTAGAGAATTCCCTTCGGTAATACAATTGTCTCTTACTACTGTACATATCTTAGATCCTCAAGAGATGTATTCGACATACTTAGAGAGTATGAATTTCAAATTGATTTGTGATGTAAATATACAAATGCATTTTAGGTGGTTCATCTCCACATTATGCCTAAAATATTACAATAATATAAATAAATAAAAATAAACTCATTTTTATATACACCAACATATATTTTTTTATGGGAACAGTTTTCTCGACATGATTCAAATTGGTTTGGAAAAGGATGTTCACTCATTTCAAGAGTCAGGTTATTTGTGGGATCT